TTCAAAACCAGGTCAGTGGGACAGGAAATGAAGATTAAAACTTTTTTTCCATCCTTCAAAAGTGGAAGAATAGCAGCCCAAAAGTATATTTGCACTAGTCATAACCATGCTAAAAGTCCTTTGGAGATTATGCAAATTTTAGTCTTTGCATTATGACCAAAGAACAACCCAATGTTTGAAATAGCAAACTTGTGACCATTAGGCAAGTAGCCAGCAGCAACATGAGTGGCAAACAGAGGCTATTGCAGTTCTTCCAGAAATTCTCTGCTCTGTTTCCATGCTAGTAAACATGGCAGTGGAAACAAAATAGGTAATGATTCTGATCTGGTGAAAAATAAGCAAATGCTGACCCTTTAAATATTGTTGTTACTAATAACCCAAACTGTTCTTTTCTCTGGAAAACACATTCATTCTGGTTAATGCAAAGACCAGATTATTCAGTTTTTAGCAGCATTTTTTTGCTAATTTGCCTTACAAAAGTAAAGAAAGTGTGTCAACTGAAAGAAATAACAGGCTGTTATTATCATATATGGCAACTGTATTCTACTTTTATGTTCGGCTTTTCTGGTGGGTGAGGTCCCTAATGGACAGTCTCTCTTCCACTTCTCGGGTCTCTGTCCCTGGTATTTGTTGTAAATGCGAATCGGCAGCTCTGATCCTTTGAGTGCCTGATTATTCAGCAGCACAAGGGTTTTGCATGGAGCTGTCTGTATGATTTATTAATCCCAAAATTACTCAAAACTATTCTCATACATGTGAAAGGAGTGTTTTAAAAGGCTTTTCCTTTTGTCTCATACAATTCACAAGGTGTTGTGGTTGTAAAACCAAAGTTGTCCTAGCTCAAATCTATTTTGCTTTAGGCTGCTTCTTTTCTTGAAAATGTCTACTCCTATTGTCACAGCTAATACAGCCAGTAGGGGTTATTCTATTGGTAATCCATGGGCTCTGGAAGTGTCTCATAGTTAAAATGATTTTCATTTCTTTTCATCTCTTCTCTTCAATTTATGCTGTACAATTTCCTGTTTTCCTAGTATTTCAAAAATATACCTTGAAGTTTGCTTTCAAATGATAGAAAGTAAGAAATTCAGACTTAAAGAGAAACTTGCAGTTAATTTGCTTTCTGGCACCTAAAGGCCAAAGAGCAGCAGGATTTCATTGGGAGACCATATGGGAAAGCTCTTGGCTTGCCTCATTACCTCCTTCTCAATAATCTCTGCATTTGCAGAGAATCAAGACACTGAAAAGTATTCATATCCTACAGTATATTGGGCCAATACATTCAGAAAGAAGATTTTTCAGTTCTTGTACCCATAGCATAATTCATGTGACTCAGGTATTGGTGAAGTTTCCTTTGTGTTCTTTCCTTGTGGACTACAGATTTGGAAGCCAGCTTTGATTGACAGCTTGGTCCAATACTCTGAGATAAACTTCTAGTTTAAACTTTGCTTGGGAACAAGGAGGTGTTAGGAAGCCCGGTTCAAGGTACTGAAGAAGAGAGAACTAAACCTGTTCCCAAAAGGAAGATTCTTTGGCTTTGGCCTTAGCGCAGGCCATAGCCTGAAAAAAGGTTGAAAGGAGAAATTGCAAAAGAAGAAATTCTAAGTCCTATCCTAACATTATCCTATGTAAAAAAACCAGAAATTTGTCAAATGTGATTAACACTGATGTGACCTTGAGAAGGAATTTCTTAAATCTTAAGAGGTGAAAGTGAAGTTGAAGACCCAAGGACAGACAGTACAAAATGTTATGTAAATTTCATTTAAGAGGGGTATGCATGATAAAGCATTTGACCCTTTTCATTTCTGACACTATTGGAGGACAGGATCTTGTGAGAAATAAAAATATGTTAGAGTTCCAGTCCTAGCTCTCTCCCTCCTGCCTTTCTCCACATCTGCTCTTCTCATGAGGTTCTACGTGATGACCTGAGTTTGGGTAGTTGACATCGACAGGATATCTTTACTAGATGAGAAATTGCTTGTTTGAGCCCCTCTTTCCTTAAGACACTCATAAACACGTGGAAAAAGTCTTGGATGGATGAAATAGTACAATACACTTGCAACCCACAGACCTGTCATCAATTTATCTTGGAGCCACAAAGACCTTCCCTCATCTTTACAGTATGGGAAATATGCATGCTATTTTGCATAAACTACTAGCACTACTACTATATCTCAGGCAGTCCTAAGATTTTAGGGAAAATAAAGTATTGAGAACAAGGAGTAAAGAATTTTCATGCTTTTGATGGCTTAGAGTAGCATGTGTTGCAGAAACCATAGATTCAAACATAGACTTATTAAGCACAAATCATTTTGCATAATAGGTTTTATATAGGTTGATTGAGAGTCAAATACCATATGGTGGTTCTTGACACCTGTGCATATGTCTACTGGGAGAAGTACCTCCAACAAATGTGCAAGGAACTTTGAAAGAATATACAGTTAAAGCCTGTGAGGTGAGATCTAAAGAATTATTCTGTTTGACTTTATTAAAATTTAATTGTCTGAATACTTATCTTGCTGTCACATGGCGTGCCAATTGATTTTTCTATATCCTATGCATTATATCCATGACTAAATGTATGATGGAGTACCCTGTGGATGACTCTCTCTCATTGCAAATTATTTTTATATCTCATTTCTTGACCTTTGTTGTTTTCTCAGCCTGCTTCTAGCCCTCCTGCTTTCTAAACATTATAGACAAACCTGTGTCATTTAACTCACATCCATGTGACAATGCTGGGTTTCTCCTGTCTCAGCTGGAATGACAGAGTACAAGGTGACAAAGGCATTTCTCCACTATTTTGTTATCTGTATAATTTTTCTTTCTTGCACTGATGTGCAGTGAGGCTGGGAAGAAATACGCTTTGAGAGACAAAAAATATTCCAAGTGAGAAAAATTAGGCAGACTTATAAATAGACATAAAACAGCATGAAATTTTGAGTTTAAAGATCAAACATAGCAAGAAATTCACAGTAACTTGGGCTGAGTCAGTCTGTTCATCAGTCACTGAAGCCATGATTCCACCAGAACATTGTTTGATTTTAAGTTTCTGAAGATTTTTTCAGATTTTTTTGCCTAACACTTTTTTCCTCCCTTAGAGCATCATAAGCTAGAAGTATCACTAGTAAAGCTAAGTTCTATTTCTCGTTTCCTAAAGGTCCACACTTTTGGCTGACAGCTGAAGCTGTCCCTTCTCTTTCTTTTCCCCCATTGTTCCATGTGTGGAGCTGGGATGAAGAGTTGCGCACAAAGAGTAGCCCATGTAAGTAGTCCATGTACCCAGTACCTGTATTGCAGTTTCTCTGCTTGAGGCAGACACATCTGTGCCATCCTGCCTTTAAAGATTTAAACAGTGGAGAGTGAGACTTCACTCTGGAAGCCTGTGGGTGCTGTCAGAGAAGGGATGAGATCAATGGCTCTTCAAACTCTTTATCAAATGGACTGATGGCTCATATACACCCTGTTGTAGCCTCCAGTCACAAGTGACCTAAAAAGACCTGCAGATGTTTCTGTAGGTAGACTGGTTAGAATAATCCTGTGCTGCCAAAAAGTTATGTGGTAAACTTTAACCTACATTATCTTGATTTTTAGCAGGCACAGCTGTTAGGCAGTAGGGTGCTGTTATGCTGCAGAAAATGCCATTGTCATCTCTCTTGTATTAGTGTTCTCAAAAAGGATGAAGCAGGAGAAATGCTATTTCAAGTATATAGGAGAAGATAGAGCACTTGCTGTTGAATGTGCAGAACAAAGTGTTCCATCTTTACGTCTGTCTGCTTGTAGAGCTGTCTTTGCTGATACTGATATCGACTGACTGCCAATGAGTGAGACTACAGGAGCCAAAAGCACAGCATGTGAATGCTTGGATAGTGTTTGGCCAGCAGAGGACTCTTCACCTTAAAAATGTGGTATATTTTCCATGTTGTAGCTATTAGTATGTTTGAGCCACATTAACAGTCCTGAGGAAGTTTATAGAAAAGACAAGTCTTTATACTTTGTATCAGCATGATTCTAAAATTAAAAGCTCACTTGTCATTTGATTCCATAGCAAGATATTTCTCATGAAATTTGAAATGTGACTCACTGGTCTCATTTCTCATGAAATTTGAAGTGTGACTTTCTGACTCATAAGGCTGAAGTCAAATTACTTGAAAAATTTCTTCATCATAAAAGGCTTCAATGGAAACTCGCTGCTTACAGAAGTGAAGAGTTTGTACAAAGTGACTAATCTGAACCAATAATGACTCTTACTCTATAAAATGCGTAATGGTTTTCTAGGAAAATAATTTGATTGTAAGCTAACTTACTCTAAATATGAATTAATATTTTGTGACCTATCAGCTAGAGCCTCTGGCTTTGACTAGTTTGGAAAAAAAGGGGCTAATGAGTGATCTCTTTGTTTGCTTCAGCTTCCTGAAGGAGAGGAAGGAGAGAGAGGGAGGTGCTGAGCTCTTTTACCTGATACCCAGTGACAGAATACGTAGAAATGGTTCAAAGCTTCACCAGATGAGGTTTAGACTTCATATTAGGAAGCATTTCTTCACTGGGAGGGGGGTGAAATACTGGAACAGGCTTCCTGGAGAAGTGCTCAATGCCCCAAGCATGCTAGTGTTTGAGATATTGGGTTAACACTTGATTAAGTGTTTCATCACCCCAGAAAGCATCGGGCAGTTGGGCTGGATGATTTTTGTTATGTCTCTTCCAGCTGCAATTATTCTATTATACTGCATTGTATTCCATTGCATTCCAGTCTATTATTTTGCTTAAAGTAATTTAATTGGGTTTTTTTAATATCTCTTGCTTGTTTTTTATATAGCTCTGAAGGACAGCATTTCTCATTCCTTGAGGCCAATGGCAAATTTCTACTGGTTCACTGTAGAATACTAACTGATATACTTGGTTAATGTAATGCAGTAAAAAAATTTCAAAACTGCTCAGTATGAAAATAAATATCAAATATAATTTTTTTATTGGAATTATCACCTCTGCAGTAAGTTCTTCCTGACTGTTTTAGTTACAGATTTTCCTGTTTCCAGAAACTGCAAATCTGTGAAGTTCTCTGCATTTTACTTCATCTTTAAATATCTACTGTTCGAATTTAGAATATCCTCCCTGGTGTAAGTATTTTAATGCTTTTTAAAAATTTTGGCTTACAAAGCCTTAAACCTTTTAGGGTTCTCAGAGACTACTAGTTTAATGTTGTTATGACTGTTAAGGAAGTATAACTCAATTACAAAGTGAATTTTCCAAATCTGTTCTGGCTAATGGAATACCACAACTTTTGTATTGAACTTTTCCTTACCACTCAGACAAAGATCCTCTTTTAGCATGCACGCTTGAAAATGCCAGCAAACACTGCTGTCCTTGTTGTCCAAACAACAAGATATTATGTAATTTTAAATAGGATGGATTATTTCTCTTCTGTGGAAAGAAACATCAGTTTTGCTGCTTACTGAAAATTAGTTTTCAGCTATGGGATAAATATGGAGAACAGATACTTACAACCCTGTCTTGGCCCTAATAAAACTGAGAAAACTCTCATTGGCTTAGGGTGAAACAGGTTTTTTTACTTGGCAAGGTTATTCTGAGAGTTTATACAAGTGAGAAAGCTTGTCTTATTACCTGATATATTAATCAGAGCCAGCTGACAGCTTTTCAGCGTGAGGAACAAACCTTTGCTAGCTGTAGATGAGAAACAGGATTATTTTTTGCCTCAGGGAGAAAACAAAAGGATAAGAAAAATCAGGACGTAAACAGGAAGTAGGGCAGATGTCTGCAGGGTAATGCTTACCACTTTTTCAGGTTTTAGGGGCTGCAAGAGAAGCCAGAATGCAAAATTCATTCTCTGTCTCAGGTCTCTGATAAATCAACATATCATAGGGTAGAGCCACAGTCCCTTAGAAATTTTCATCACTCTTGACCTGAAGCTTGCTGTGCCTGTGATAAAAACTACCACTGTTAGACCAGTTCAGTAGATCATGAAAGTAAAACGCTCTATTGAAGTTGGTACTGCTGCCATGGTTTACACTAGATGACTTTCTGTGTATGTGTTTGGTTCCAACATATATTATGTTTTGGCATGATATCTAAAGTTATCCTTGGAATTTAAGATACCAATTGGAATTTAAGTTACCCATATAGATGACAGCTCTGTCTCCCCTCCAGTAGAACTGACTGTATTAAAGTCCAAATAAAAAAAAATATTGTTTGGCTTTGTTGCAGAGTTTCTAGTCATTAGACTGCTTGTAAAAGCTAGGCATTTATCCTGTGGCATAAAGAATAATTGTTTGTTGGTACCTGTGGTGCATGGTTATAGACTGATGCTTGATCCTTGATGCACAAAGAAAAATAACTTTTGTCAACAGAAATAGACTTAAGGCACTACTATGGTTGCAAGAGGGAAACATAGGTGTGGCTAGTGTAATCTAATCCCTACTGATAAAGCCAGAGGTGTTTTCCTACTAAAGCAGTTAGGTGTTGCAGGTTAGACACTCACAGAGATGCACAGAAACAAAGAGAATTTTCCAAACAAACCACAATTGTTAAAGGACAAAGACATGTCTGGGCTCTTCTAGAAATGAGTCTGAACAACCCACCACAACAAAGAACTAAGATGGTTTATGCAGGTTTCAATCCACTGAAGTAAAATATTTCAAGTGTAGCCCAAAAAGTGTCACATGGCTTAAGTAATCTTAACACTGAGGATCTAGATTGGGAATCAGATCACCTACTCAAGGAACATAATTTATTCAACCTGTTGTTAGTACTTAGGCAGACTGAAAATGCTTTCACTTTACCTCATAATCAATTTTCTGCTAACTCATCCAGAAACTAGCCCAAGGTGGTGTTATGAAAATAATTTAATTTTTATGAATTTAATTTTTGCAGCAATCACATTTTTCTAGTGCTTCTCTTCATGGATATAACTAGGGAATATTCATAGACAGCTCTCCCAAAGACACAGACATCTCCCAAAGACAATTCATAGACTTACCCAAACCCTGATTTACAAAGCTCTAGAGAAATGTCCAACATGTTTGCTCACAAATTGTTTGTTTGCGAACCAAAGCAGAATTTTTAGAAAGGGCTGAATCTAAATTTATTTGAGGGGAGTCTGGATCTAATCAAAGAAGAGGGAAGAGAGAACTGAAATTGGGGAAGAATGGGGAATAATGCAGGGACAAATGAGTACTGTCTCTACCTTTTTGTTTGAGGTGGGATCAATCCCAACATTTATTTGCTTTCCTGTTGTTGTCTTTTCACCATGCTACTGAGGAGAAGGCCATGCAATTACAGAACAAAATTAATACTAGAAAACTCTGGAGTGCTTTATGCTTATATTAATGACTGTGTAAAGCTAGATGCTGAATAGAATTCAACAGCAACCTCTTCCAAGAGAAAAGGGAAAATGCAGATATATTTTCTTCTTTAGGAGTGTTTTATCAGTGCAGATTTTTTTAGTGCCCTTCAGTGGCAGGAAACATTATTCATTTTGAAGAGTGCTTGTTTTCCTTCAGTGTAGAAAATACTGATCTGACCTTAAAAATATTAGATTAAGTGTAGGAAAGGGCAAAAAAAAAAAATAAAATGGAGCATTATTTGTATAATGCAAAAAAAGTCTTTTTCCCTGATATTAAAATATTACTTCAAATTGTGAGGAATACTGATTTTTTTTTCCTGCAAATGTGTCCTGCTTATTCAAAAAAACAGGCTTGTTACCTTATCTTTCATGTCTCTGTATGATAAAATGTTTCTAGAAAGTCCTGTAGCAACATCCCAAGTGAATCAGAGTTACTTTGAAGCTTCAAAGAGAAATTAATTTCTGGTGGCATTGCATAGGAATGTACTTATTAGCAGTTCTCATCACACTGAGGCCCCCCTTTAGCTTGATTCAAAACACCATCATTTTTATCCTTTCAAGGGGACCCTTTTGTCTTCATTAAAAATGGCTATTTGATGAATGATGTCACAGTAAATATCCCTTAGCCATTTAGCCAGTTTCTCATCCACCTTTGACTGGATGTGGAAAATATTCAGTATTTCCATGACTGTGGCTGCAGTCCTTCAATGGAAGAGAATAATTTGAATAAATCAGCATCAGTGAAAAGTAAGGATACCTGATTGACTGCTGAAGATAAAGTTCCCTTGGTAATCAGATTAATTCCACTTCCTTTAATCACAGATAACAGAATGCTTTGGGTTGGCAAGGACCTTAGAGATCATCTAGTTTCAACCCTCTGGCCACAGGGATGCCACCCATTAGATCAGGTCCAACCTGGCCTTTAAAATTGTTCAATTTTCTATAAGACTGCAATGAAGGAAAGCCCTTTGACTTACTGAATGCTGACTTCAAACTACAAAAACAGAAGGAAAACACTGCCCCAAAAGCAGTGATATTCAGAGGACAATGTAACCACTAACCTGTGGGACTGGAAGTACTCAGGTGAAACTTTTGTTCAGCATTTCCTGTTCTTCTGTTTCATGTTCAAGGATTTACATCCATGCAGCTTTAGTTGAATATTCTGTTGCTGTTGAATTTTTTACACGAATTGTGAGGATTCAAGATTACACTTTCTAGAGTATCAGACTAAGTATTTCATCTGGGACACGGAAACATCAGCACTGTATAGAATGTCATGGAAGTCTTATCCTCCAAGTAATTTGATCACAAAAGAATGTCTACTAAAGACATTAAACTCTGTTTTGCTTTGTTATTTAATCTTACTGCTTTCATAATGTGTTCTTGATTAACCAGTGTTTATTGCCATTCAGGGGTATATTTGCCCCTAGAAATATCCCTTTAGTATCAAGGAGACAGCAATTTTATTGTTGGCATGCTGCAATATTTGGGAGACACTGTTTACTCTTGAGAATGCAATTTCACTTTCAGAATTCAGTCTTCATGTTCCACATGCATGTTCTTAGTTTCATCTAAGGGCTGTGGTTCTTTAATTATTTCCCTAGACCTCATTAAAGAGGCCTGATACTTAGTGATATAAGTGAAAGTCACTTTTTCATATTATTCAGAGAGTGATGGTGTTCTTCCTACTGGATATGGGAATTTTGCTTACCACACTCTCAGTTGCATAGACGTCCAGTATATGTATTATTTGTACATCTTAAAAAACTGTCAGGCCTGAAGAGCTTTATAACTATTTATTTCTTGAAATCAGATTTAGACAAACTTCTAAGAATAGGATGATACTAAGTAGCAAGTACATCAATTTATTTATTTATTTATTTTAAGCAGACAGAGATTACTCCCAAACCCTGATTTACAAAGTATAAAAGCCAGGGTCCTTGTTTCTCTATTTTCTTTGTTTCAAAGACTGATCAGCAAGATAATTTTCTTCTGATGTTTGTAGCTTTTTAACCTTTCTAGAAAAAATAGGATACAGTGTTTGCATGTCACTTCTGACTTGGAAACACCTGGTTTTCATTTGCAAATGACATGAGAAGCTCTGGTCCTGTGTTTAATTTCAAATGAAATCTGTGTGGCTGTAATGCAGAGCAGCACTATTCTGGGTCCTGGTAACAAGGAGCACCTTAATTGAATTGACAAAAACACTCCCCTTTCTTCTCTTCCTCAACAACTCCCCCAAGTTCAAAGTTATATTAGGAATAAAGGGTTGGAATGAAATAAAATGAAATTAAATAAAGACAAGGACCCTTTCCAAACAGTGTGCTCCAAAGTGTCTGGATAAAAAACCCTATAGCTTGAGCTGCTCCTATGACACAGGTCAATCAGCTATGAACTCCACGGTGAAGAAAAAAAAAATTAGGAAAAAAGTGGAGAGAGTGCACTACAAAGTTCACAAAAGGAAATGTTGGAAAGTGTAAAATGAATGTGTCTTCAGCCTCATGGATAAACCCTGTACATGGGGTTATTTTACAGCATATAGCCCTCAGTGAGTTCCCCATAAGGGAACAGTAAAGGAAAAAAACAATCCTTTTACTTTGTCTTCATTTTTGACGGTAGTGCAAGTTTTGAATACTCTCTTTGAGACTAATTCTAACCACATGGAGAGCTGCCTTTTCTCAAGTTGCTACTTTCAGACTGAGTTTGTTGCCTTCTTGGGGATTTAACTGTCTCTAATGGTAACCTGCCCATATAGATGCAGACAAAATCATCTAAATTCTGACTTCTCTACTGCCTTCCCACAGTTTCCTGTTACTGGTAAGATGACAACCACACTGTTCCTGAGAAGGAATAGGAAAGCAATTTACATTTTGCAGGTGAGGATTTGCAGTGTAAACTCCCAGAAAAAAACCTAAAATGCACACAAGTACCTCCCACTGCACAACAGGAACATCTTGAAGCTGTTGAATAATTTCTAGTCCATGTGAGAATGTGGTCTTTTTGAAGATGCAGTTGTTTCTACTGACAAAACCAATGTTGCCATTGTCCTCCCCTTAGACAGACTTAAGACTTAATTTGTTATTGTAGGAATATATTAAATCAGCAGTGGTGCTACAGAGACGGTGCCTCTGATATGCTAATGCAATCAGTGTAAAGGGAGATGGGGCAAGGCAAACTGAAAGAGAAATTCTGCTGTGTCCAAACATGATGAACAAAATCTGGACATGGCATTCCCTGAAACTTTTGACCAATGGGTTGTTAATCTTTCAGAAACAAAGGAATTAGCTATATCTTGACCCATCCAGCCCTGTTACATACCACACAAGGTAACCTCCAAGTAAGCTTCACTGTCAGGTTTTTTTTCAGCTTGAGTTTTATGTACTAAGGTCAGCCCTTGACGTGCAGGTTGGCCAAGCTGTGCACTGTGCACAAAAATTCTGGTGATAAAAATCAGGGAGTGAAATACTCTGCTGGATGTGAGTCCTCTTGATTCCAAATCACTCTCGTTGCTATTTGCATTATGAAGTAGAAATTAGGTGAGAATATTTCTTGTCATACTGTACAGAGGCCAAAGCAATGGCTCTTTCCTATAGCTCACCCCATGTCCTGAGACGGGCCCCAACCCCTCTCTAATGATGACACTTTTTTGATGACAATTTTCTTCCAACTTGTCAGCATGCTTGGTATTGTGCTGCTGCTGTGTCTATGTTGTTGGTGGTGTTACGTCTGTGTATTCTGGAGCGACTTGTAGAACAGACATAATCCCATTGTCTGGTCATTTATAACTGTATTGGAGACAATTCTGGAAATGTACTGGCAAGATGAGCTCTGGCCATTTGAGATAGCTTAATGGAGCTCTTCCATCTTTCAACTTTAATAATTAATCTTATTTTGCTTAATTTGCAGTGATTAGTGGCTATTAAACAGCTGATAAAAGTATCCTATACTTTCCATGTGAAAGCTAACTGAAAAAATCAGCAAACAACTGTGTAAAATTTCTTCACCTAGAGCCTGGCTGGGCACTAGAACAGGCTCGTGAGGTAAGTGTTCACAGCACCAGCATGATAGAACTCAAGTGTGTGACTCCCGGGGTGTCATACAAAGAGCCACAAGTGGGACTTAGTGATCCTGATGGGTCCCTTCTAACTCAGCATATTCTGTAATTCTGTGATTCTACATTTGCAATTTTGATCAGTGAGCAATGTAAGTTGTCCCTTCAGAGATTTTCTCTTACTCTCTGGTTCTCTTCATCCATCCATCTACATGTTAGACCGTGTAAGTACAGTGACCACTACTGTTTAGCACATAAAACAACTTCAGGCTGCTCTCCTTTGTGGTTACAGGAGATATTTCAAAGGCAGATCAGTCAGGGTGTGAGCTGAAGCCTTGTCTAGGCTGCTTTTCTCTGTTCTCATCACTTCTTTACCTTCTTGTATCAGAGAGCAGACTATTTCCCTTCAACCATTCATTTTGGCTTTGATGACACATGAAATTGGAATATCTTTGACCTTTATTACTAAGAATAAATAAATTCATACCTGAAAAAAAATTATAGGCTTTACACGATCTGCTTTTGTGGGGGCAGGAAAGAAAATTCCAGTATTTGAGAAAACACTTTAGTAGGTGAGCTTAGAAATTCCCCTCTAACCTGTCAGAGCAAAATATCCTCGCTCTTTTAAATGTGATTTATTTATGTAATGTGACCAAGCTATTAAACTTGTTAGAGATCATGGCAGATGGCAGGTGTCATATGGATTTGAGCAAATGTTATCGGCTTAGCAGTCATAAAAAATAATTGAAGACTCTAGCTCTTAGCTGCATAGGCAAGCAAGAAAGTTAACGTAGAGAAATGCTGTAAAGCTTTCTGTGCATACATAAACCCTTCCTTTGAGCACTGGGGCTTGGTGGCAGAGGCCTTCTGAGGAAAAACAGATTTCTCAAAGGCAAGAGAGACTAGTCATCAGCAAAACTGTGGTTTATAGGCATTCCCAAAATCACATAATGAGAAGCGCTTTGTTTTTCTGTAACTCAGTTCATGCTAAGAAGTTCCAGATACCTGAAATGGAATGATTTTCTCTATTCCTTAGCCTCTGTTTTACATTGCATATGAAATGTTCTCTAAACTCTTTTAAGATTTGTTCCCAGTTTTAAGCCCCGTTACTCTGGCACCAGACACCGTGATTTGCCCTCCAGCCTAAGGCTGAATAATGCGGTGGCGGCTGCATGGGTGGGGCCATGAAATACCCAGCAGACTCCCCCTGTGTGTGTGCTAGACCACCCACGAGGAGATTAATGCCTGAGCAGCCCTTCAGACTTCGAGAAACAGCTACTTGTAGGACATTCAGAGCTGCAGCGCACAAATATTGCTAAAATGGTCAAGGGCAAAATATGTGACTTACACCCCATCAAAGACACACAGATGCATATCCTGAAACATTTGCATATGAAACATCGTCCTTTAACAGCTTCATCTACTGAGGCAAGTAAATGCTGACATCCACTTAACAAAGGGTACTCTACTGGATATGCCTGCATAACGGCCATGGACAAGGATATCGAATGGCCACCAACCACATGCATGCAAATGCCCACATGCAACCATGGTCCCTTGGGCAGGGATGAGCTGTCAGATTGCAGGCCCCATCCATGTGTACAAGTTGATAACTGTCTTTTCATTAAGTAGTTGTAGTTTTGGGGATGTCATGGTTTAACCACAGCCAGTGACTAAGTAGAACACAGCCACTTGCTCACCAGGACTCCAAACATCTTTACAGTGTTTCTTCTGCCCCTGGCTTTATAAGCTGATGCCGTAGAGTAGGGGATACCCCTTGGGTCTCTTGGGGTCAGCAGTCCCAGTTGGTTGCCTTCCAACTTCTTGTGTGCCCCCATCTTACTTGCTGTGAGGGTGATAAAAGAGGCAGCAAAGGCCTTGGCTCTGTGTAAGCGCTGCTCAGCAATAACAAAAACATCCCGGTATTATCAACACTGTTTTCAGCACAAATCCAAAACATAGTCCCATACCAGCTACTGTGAAGATACTGTGAAGAAAATTAACTCTATCACATCTGAAACCAGGACTTTATTCCTGAAGTGAAAGCTACTGCTGAAGTGATATGACTGCAATCTATGTTCTGGCTCTGCCCCATCCCCCTTTAAACTGATTGCATTACCATATCAGAGGCACTGTCTCTGTAGCACCACTTCTGATTTAATATATTCCTACAATAACAAATTAAGAAAACAGGAAAGGAGAAAGTTTCACCAACACTTAAGAGTTAGAATTATCTTTCACCAAGTCCCTTACATGTAGCCTACCAGACATCAAGGCTCATGGGAAAATTCAGATTTCAATTTCAACATTTTTTTTTTAGAACACCTGTTCAAATCTGCTCTTCAACTAGAGGGGAGAGGGTTCCTAAATGGCACAGTAAGATTTCCAAAACACCCTCCCTAGGGAAATTTTGAGAAGTACTATCCACACCCTTAGTCTACAGACACAAGTATTTTTGAAATCACCTAAACAACTGAAAGGAAGACATTCTAGTTACTTATTTCAAGTCAGGAGTTTAAAAAAAGTATCATTAATTAATATTGAAAGTTTCATTTAACAACTTTGGAGTTGCATTCAGTTGTTTCCCTCCTGAACTGAAAGATGTTTCTGATTTTCTATTTCCCGCCATTTGAAAGATATCGTGCCATTAATCTCATCTTGGATGCATTGTGTATGTTTTTGGTGACACCACCTGAACCTGCAACCTTAGAAGTAAACGAGAAATTGGTAAAGCAGCAAAGTGGAGTTACTATGTGAAATAATAGCATAAAGTCCTATCCATTTCCCTTCAAAACAGTCAGGAAAGATACTTCAGTCTCTACGTGCCAAGTGGAGTCATTCAAAAAGGTGTATAAACAATTTAACATCTAAATGCAACTTCTTGGAAAAGAGAGGAGTCTGGACAAGGCTGGCTGAGCTCCATTAGGCAATACACAATGCAGCCAGTGTATATTTCCAGGAATGCTGGAAACCAGATCTCAATACCCTGCTGTTTGCCTACATCTCTCTTGGTGGCCCCATGCAAACACTTGCAGCACTGCATGGCCATGAACTTGGCACTGCTGTGTGTTTTAGGAAGTCTAGAAGGCATGGAGAATGAAGAAAGTTGCCTACTCTGTTTTCCTTTATCATAGGGACAGTGGGTACTGTCATACAGGTAGAATGAGCTGCATCTGGCTTTTCACAACATGATGGCTTGTCTCTTATTATTTTTCTTTTTCTTTAATTAAAAGTTAGTCTCTACAAAGGGTGGATGTACGGAGCGTTTGAACATCAGAGAGAGCAACACCATTCTTACAAGGGCAGACCACTTCAGCACTATACTTCCTCTTCTCTGAGAATTCTTTTGCTAATAACCTATAAATAAACATGCTTTCCACTAACTCGGCTTCCAAGAAGTCATCAGGAACTAGTTAGTCATTATATCCCAAATCATCTGCTCAGAAAGAAAGGTGCATTACTCATAGATGGCCAGTTTCAATGCCAAAGGTAATGAAATATAGTTAAGAAGCTCTAATTTAAAATCAGATTTATCACCAAGTAGTCAGAGGACTAATTTCGTGATATGTAAAATGATGCCTTATTCTAGAAAAGACATCAAAATGTAGCTCACTGTTATTTATTTTTACAAGCATAGATGAGGGATGGGGAACTGCTTATGACAGTTACAGGCCCATTAGGAAACATTTTCCCTGCTTTTGTACTTTCTTTTTTTCTTCATAAGGAAATGTGGGAACAGGCAGAGATTCTCTGGTTTTAGGCCTATTTCTCCCTCAAGTGGTTTACCCTGAGCAAACTGTGATAAGCTGAATGCCCAGATTCACAGAGGATCACATGGCATCTGGCTGCTCCTGGTCTCAGGATACCAGTTCAGTCTTCCCTCCAAAAATGTACACTCCTCTACTTTGGTCTGTGTCCACTCTTTAGATACTTTATAAAAATTGACAGTGAACCCAAGTAAGAGAAAAAAAATCTGCTTAGTTCTTGTGAATATATTTTCCATTTGGAGCTAACTCCAGTATTTATTAAACCAGGCAGTCCTCATAGATGGCTTTTAAATATTAAGTAATATAAACAGGTTGTGATGGGCTTTTCTTTTTGGATAGATGATTCTTCAAAAACCAATTATCTCTTGATTCATATCAGACTAACGTGTGTCATTAGTATTGATGTGTAATGCTACACAAGAAAAGAACTGAATGAAGGTCTCAAATCTCATTTAGTCTCTGGACCAGAAAAGTGCTTAGTTATGTGCTTAGTTATCAGAGATTATGATGTTTGAAACTTCTGTCTCTCAATAAACAATCATAGCCCTGATAAAATGGAAGTCTCCACTGTTGTATGAGGAAATCTTCTCTATCTCTATTTTTATTTTTCCTTTTTCTTTTTTTTTTCCTTTTTTTTTTTTTTAAGGAGTAAGGATGTCTTCAGGCAATAAAATTTGGGTTTGAAAAAGTTATTGGGCTTTACCAGTGCTGTATTTCTGAACCACATTATTCCCAGCTAGCTTGCAGTTGCTGTGACTCTTATCTTCATACCTTTAAAGTTAAGCACATTCAGGTAATTTGAACAGGAATTCTGCAGTCTGATGAACAGTGAATTGCTTTAGTGGTTTGGTTTAAACTTTAAATATTAACCATAGTCTGCATGGATTACCAAATATTTAACCACAAAACGCTAAAATGCTCCATTCCCCTATGTCTCAAGCAGTGCATACCTACAAGCCTGTGTAATTCAGCTGAGCATGCAAAAATTACCCTGAACTGGATATTTAGTGATTCTTCTCCTGATGTCATGTCCCTGTAAATAAGCCATGGTATCTTCTGTCTGGGAAGATGTTTTATGTCGCCCAGGTAAGCGGTTCACCGTGGACAGTGGTATTTAGTACCTGAGGGAATTAGCAGTGCTGGGGGTGATTTATGATGACATAGACAATGAACAATTATCCATATGAAGTCCTGTACACTACCTCTGTGGGGTACATTTGAAAGGAGTGGAGCATTGTACTATGCAAACTCATTGTCAGTAATGATTTGGAAAGAGGGACAAAAGGTGGATTGAAGTGGCTGGATAACTCTGTCAGTACAAGGAAAGTCTCTCTTCCTCCCTCCAGG